ATGTGTGTGTGCCATTAAGAAGACGTGTTTTATGAATGAAGATATGTTTTAGAAAGAGACGTGGATTCATTGATCAACGTTTATTTGTACGGGGGTGTGTGATGCATTTGCGTTTGAAAGAAAATCTATTAGACGGGGCGGTGACGTAATCGGAAGTGATTCTACATGCAACACGGTTGCTTATAACGAAATTGCTATCTACAATTAATCGATCTATGGTTATTGAGCCGATATAGACTGAGCACTTCCGTCTTATTGTACGAAAGCATGTTTCTACCACCCACACGCCCATGCCAACACGCAAATACTTATACATACATATGAACACCCCCCATATATATATATATATATATATATATATATATATATATATATATATATATATATATATATATATACGGATAGAAATGGAAAATGAAGACGGAAAACAGCCGCGCCTATAAAGTTTAGACAATAAAAAATAGCTCAATGCAAAATTAAAAATCGAAGATGCAGAGTTAAGATATTTATAAAAAGGCTAAAATGCCAACCAAACTCGCAAGACGGGTTTCGGCCGTGAGGTACTTATGAACCCAGATGAGTGAAATAAAATAATTCATTTTTTCCCACCTTTTTCCCCCCACAATTGTTCCCCTTTAAATAAGTCCCCGCTCTCGCCATCATCATACTTTTACCTGTTCCGGAATTAGTTGGAGATTCGTATCGAGCCAAGGTAGTCGAACTCTCTGCCCAAAGGCAGAGAGGAACCCCGACGAGGCTCTGCCGAAGGGCAGAATTTCGTCTACCCGACCCCTTTTTCTACGGGGTCTACGGGGAATTTTTGCCCGGGCCCGTAGGTACGGTTTTACCCCCGAATTAAAAACGCCCTTGTAACATATCCAGCCTCGTAAATAACCTCATACATTTACTCTCTCACGTCCGGTGTTCTGGTATATTGGTGTAGCTTCTTTTTGGCGTATACATCCTTCCTCTTGCGCATTTCTATACCCCTCTCTCTCTCTTTTGTCTTTTTTCTCGCTATATATATATATATATATATATATATATATATATATATGTGTGTGTGTGTGTGTGAGAGACTAAAATAGCAACCAACCTCGAAAACCGGGTTTCGATCGTAAGATATCCTCAGTCAGATATATTCAGATAGAAAGGGAAATACTGAAAAAGATAAAATATATTGTATTGAAAGAAAGACGATGACTATATAGTCGTTTAAAAAATTTTGGTTAAATTCAATATACCGAGTTGATCTTTTTTTATAATTTTTATTTTATTTTTGTAATTTTCTATTGTACTTGTACTCTGCACCCAAATGAACATTGGGTATACATTGTCCAAAGCTCATTGTTTTGTTCAGCCTTTATTCGAATATTTTAGCCTTGTCAAGGACCAAACAGGGCCAATATGACAGAACATTTTTGGGTAAGGTACGGTTCAAATTCAAATATACGTATATAATCTTTTCACAATATTTGAGAGAAAAGCAAAATGAATATATCAAATGTTTAATACGTATTATTATCATTATGTAATGTGAGTCAGCCTCGTGAGCCTTTTGTCAGCCATATTTAGTGTGAGTCGGCCCTATGTTCCGTTGGTCAGCCATATGTAATGTGAGTCAGCATTGCGTGCCTTTTGTCAGCCATATTTACTGTGAGTCGACCTTATATTCCGTTTGTCAGCCATATGTATAGTGAGTCAGCCCTTTGTGTCTTTTGTCAGCCATATTTACTGTGAGTCGGCCCTATGTTCCGTTGGTCAGCCATATGTACTGTGAGTCAGGCTTGTGTGCCTTTTGTCAGCAATATTTACTGTGAGTCGGCCTTATGTTCCGTTGGTCAGCCATATGTACTGTGAGTCAGCCCTGTATGTCTTTTGTCAGCCAGATTTACTGTGAGTCGGCCTTATCTTTCGTTGGTCAGCTATATGTAATGAGAGTCAGCTCTGTGTGCCTTTTGTCAGCCATATTTACAGCGAGTCGGCCTTAAGTTCCCTTGGTCAGCCATATGTACTGTGAGTCAGCCCTGTATGCCTTTTGTCAGCCATATTTATTGTGAGTCGGCCTTATGTTCCGTTGGTCAGCCATATGTACTGTGAGTTACCCTTTTGTGACTTTTTCAGCCATATTTACTGTGATTCGGCCTTATGTTCCGTTGCTCAGCCATATGTACTGTGAGTCAGCCTTGTGTGTCTTTTTCAGCCATATTTACTGTGAGTCGGCCTTATGTTCCGTTGGTCAGCCATATGGACTGTGAGTCAGCTCTATGTGCCTTTTGTCAGCCATATTTACTGTGAGTCGGCATTATGTTCCGTTGGTCAGCCATATGTAATGTGAGTCAGCTCTGTGTGCCTTTTGTCAGCCATATTTACTGTGAGTCAGCCCTATAATCCGTTGGTCACCCATATGTACTGTGAGTCAGCCCTGTATGTCTTTTGTCAGCCATATTTACTGTGAGTCGGCCTTATGTTCCATTGGTCAGCCATATGTACTGTGAGACACCTCTGTGTGCCTTTTGTCAGCCATATTTACTGTGAGTCGGCCTTATGTTCCGTTGGTCAGCCATATGTACTGTGAGTCAGCCCTGTATGTCTGTTGTCAGCCATATTTACTGTGAGTCAGCCCTATGTTCCGTTGGTCAGCCATATGTACTGTGAGTCAGCCCTGTATGTCTTTTGTCAGCCATATTTACTGTGAGTCGGCCTTATGTTCTGTTGGTCAGCCATATGTACTGTGAGTGAGCCTTGTGTGTATTTTCAACCATATTTACCGTGAGTCGGCCTTATGTTCCGTTGGTCAGCCATATGTACTGTGAGTCAGCCCTGTTTGTCTTTTGTCAGCCAGATTTACTGTGAGTCGGCCTTATGTTCCGTTGGTCAGCCATTGTACTGTGAGTCAGCCTTGTGTCTTTTTCAGCCATATTTACTGTGAGTCGGCCTTATGTTCTGTTGGTCAGACATATGTACTGTGAGTGAGCCTTGTGTGTCTTTTTCAACCATATTTACTGTGAGTCGGCCTTATGTTCCGTTGGTCAGCCATATGTACTGTGAGTCAGATCTGTGTGCCTTTTGTCAGCCAGATTTACTGTGAGTCAGCCCTATTTTCCGTTGGTCAGCCATATGTACTGTGAGTTACCCTTTTGTGACTTTTTCAGCCATATTTACTGTGATTCGGCCTTATGTTCCGTTGCTCAGGCATATGTACTGTGAGTCAGCCTTGTGTGTCTTTTTCAGCCATATTTACTGTAAGTCGGCCTTATGTTCCGTTGGTCAGCCATATGGACTGTGAGTCAGCCTATGTGCCTTTTTCAGCCATATTTACTGTAGTCGGCATTATGTTCCCGTTGGTCAGCCATATGGACTGTGAGTCAGTTCTATGTGCCTTTGTCAGCCATATTTACTGTGAGTCAGCCCTATGTTCCGTTGGTCAGCCATATGTACTGTGAGTCAGCCCTGTATGTCTTTTCTCAGCCATATTTAGTGTGAGTCGGCCTTATGTTCTGTTGGTCAGACATATGTACTGTGAGTGAGCCTTGTGAGTCTTTTTCAACCATATTTACTGTGAGTCGGCCTTATGTTCCGTTGGTCAGCCATATGTACTGTGAGTCAGCTCTGTGTGCCTTTTGTCAGCCAGATTTACTGTGAGTCAGCCCTATTTTCCGTTGGTCAGCCATATGTACTGTGAGTCAGCCCTGTTTGTCTTTTGTCAGCCAGATTTACTGTGAGTTAGCCCTATTTTCCGTTGGTCAGCCATATGTACTGTGAGTCAGCCCTTTTGTCTTTTTCAGCCATATTTACTGTGAGTCGGCCTTATGTTCTGTTGGTCAGACATATGTACTCTGAGTGAGCCTTGTGTGTCTTTTTCAACCATATTTACTGTGAGTCGGCCTTATGTTCCGTTGGTCAGCCATATGTACTGTGAGTCAGCTCTGTGTGCCTTTTGTCAGCCAGATTTACTGTGAGTCAGCCCTTATTTTCCGTTGGTCAGCCATATGTACTGTGAGTTACCTCTTTTGTGCCTTTTTCAGCCAGATTTACTGTGATTCAGCCCTTATGTTCCGTTGGTCAGCCATATGTACTGTGAGTCAGCCTTGTGTGTCTTTTTCAGCCATATTTACTGTGAGTCGGCCTTATGTTCCGTTGGTCAGCCATATGTACAGTGGGTCAGCTTTGTGTGTCTTTTTCAGTCATATTTACTGTGAGTCGGCCTTATGTTCCGTTGGTCAGCCATATGTACAGTGGGTCAGCTTTGTGTGTTTTTTTCAGTCATATTTACTGTGAGTAAGCCCTATTTTCCGTTGGTCAGCCATATGTACTGTGAGTCAGCCCTGTTTGTCTTTTGTCAGCCAGATTTACTGTGAGTCGGCCTTATGTTCCGTTGGTCAGCCATATGTACTGTGAGTCAGCCTTGTGTCTTTTTCAGCCATATTTACTGTGAGTCGGCCTTATGTCCCGTTGGTCAGCCATATGTACTGTGAGTCAGCCTTGTGTGTCTTTTGTCAGCCATATTTACTGTGAGTCGGCCTTATGTTCCGTTCGCAGCCATATGTACTGTTAGTCAGCCCTGTATGTCTTTTTCAGCCATATTTACTGTGATTCGGCGTTATGTTCTGTTAGTCAGCCATATGTACTGTGAGTCAGCTTTGTGTGTCTTTTTCAGTCATATTTACTGTGAGTCGGCCTTATGTTCACTTGGTCAGCCATATCTACTGTGAGTCAGCCTTGTGTGTCTTTTTCAGTCATATTTACTGTGAGTCGGCCTTATGTTCCGTTGCTCAGCCATATGTACTGTGAGTCAGCCTTGTGTGTCTTTTGTCAGCCATATTTACTGTGAGTCGGCCTTATGTTCCGTTGGCAGCCATATGTACTGTGAGTCAGCCTTGTTTGTCTTTTTCAGCCATATTTACTGTGAGTCGGCCTTATGTTCCGTTAGTCAGCCATATGTACTGTGAGTCAGCTTTGTGTGTCTTTTGCAGTCATATTTACTGTGAGTCGGCCTTATGTTCCCTTGGTCAGCCATATCTACTGTGAGTCAGCCTTGTGTGTCTTTTTCAGTCATATTTACTGTGAGTCGGCCTTATGTTCCGTTGGTCAGCCATATCTACTGTGAGTCAGCCTTGTGTGTCTTTTTCAGCCATATTTACTGTGAGTCGGCCTTATGTTCCGTTGGTCAGCCATATGTACTGTGAGTCAGCCTTGTGTGTCTTTTTCAGCCATATTTACTGTGAGTCGGCCTTATGTTCCGTTGGTCAGCCATATGTACAGTGCGCCAGCTTTGTGTGTATTTTTCAGCCATATTTACTGTGAGTCGGCCTTATGTTCCGTTGGTCAGCTATATGCAAAGTGAGTCAACCCTGTGTGCTTTTTGTCAGCCATATTTACTTTTCTCATCATCCTTTTTCTGATTGTTTAAAGTCAGTGTATATTTTTAAATTGCAAATCTTTTGGTGAAAAAATAATGTAGTGATTGGTGAAGATATAGAGTCATACCTTTCTGAATGATATTTTAGCGTAAGTAAATACAACAAACCTGAAGTGAATTGGAACTTTGATCTCCGATTAACAATTCCGAGTGTGCATATTATATCACCTGCACATCCAAGCTTACAGCAACTTACATTCCCAAGCGGACAACAACCTGGATACAAACCAGGATCAACGTTTGAAATTGGTGGTTTTTTTTTAAATCCACAATATATTTCACAATATCTCTTTGTATGAATGTAGACGTTCCCCAGCAGTCTCTCCTTGAACCTGCGTTGTTTCTAATGATTTTCCTGATGTCATCACTTTTAATCTCGGTATCTATGCTGATGGCACAACTATTTACCCCTGTCTTAATAGTAAGTCGGATAGGTTCTATAAAGTCTAATTAGTAGATGATCTCAAAAATGATCTACAGTCTGTTGTTAAATGGGACAAGGAATGGCTTGCTATTTTTAACGCCTCACAAACGAAACTGCTCCCTTTTAATTATCTGGGGGAAGCCGTTTTACTTCCATCATCATGGCTGATGCTAACCTCCAGGAGATGGAATCGTTGTACCTTCACTGACTAATGCTTGCAGCTGACATGAAATAGAAAGAGTATATTGAATCGATTGCTAAGTCTGCAGCTAAGAAAGTTGTTTCACTATTTTCGTGCTAAACAATTTTCCTTGCCAGAATCTATTTTACATATTTATATGTCTACCATTCGACTTAGCTTTGAATATTTCTACCACATCTAGTGTGATGCTCCGGTTATATATTTATAGATTCTTGACAAAATCTATAGAAGAGTCTGCACTGTTATTGGTCCTGACCTGGCATCACGGCTTCAATCCATTTGCCTTATCCTCGCGTTTTTGTACAGATTCTATAAACATTTCTTGGTAATTCTTCTCATGAAATTTCCTCTAGTGTACCTAGATTTATGAATTTAAGTGCACTACTAGATGGGCGGCGAGGTCTCATCATTTTGCAGTTGAAATGGCTAGACGTAACCGTAGGTTCTATGTTAACACTTTCTTCTCTCGCACTGCATGGAACTCTCTTCTGGCTTCTTGCTTCCCAGTCAAATTTGATCTTCAAAAATTTAAGTGCATTGTGGATCGTTATCTTCTGTTTTCTTAGTTCTTGGTTGTTAATAGTAATTTTCTCATATTCTCTAACACTCTGTAACACCCTTGAGTCTTAGTGGCTATATTGCCTTGCTTGGGGGTTAAATGATTAAAAGAATATAATGTTTCGTAGGGAAACAACATCATTGCTTAAAGGAAGAACATGTCAACACTACTGTGTGCCGTTCAATAACCCCAGTTATCTCTTTCGCAAGAAACTTACAAACCTACTTATGTATATATATATATATATATATATATATATATATATATATATATATATATATATATATATATATATATATATATATGAATAACAATAAATATATGTATATATATATATATATATATATATATAATATATATATATATATACAGTAACCCGGATATAAGAGAAACCCGGATATAAGAGAGATTTTCTCTGGTCCCAAATTAGAGTCTATACTTACCTAAACAAAATAGACCAAACCCGGATATAAGAGAAACCCGGATAGAAGAGACTTCTCCGGTCCCGGCAACTCTAATATCCGGGCTACACAAATATATATATATATATATATATATATATATATATATATATATATATATATATATTATTCTAATTCAATAAAGAGCCCAAGAGTAACACAAGGTGTAGGATTACGAAGAGAAATTGTCGAAAGTAGATCACGTTTAACCAGAGACTTGAAAAAGTTAAGATTTTAATGATCGCGAAAACATCTTTTCGGGAGTATATTCCATAAATTATCGGTTCTTGCAAAAACTCTGTCCGAATGGAACTTCCTTCTTCACAATGGAATTCGTAGGGTATGAGCGTGAATCGACTCTGTGTTCGTGGCAATGCGGGTCTTAACTGGGAAGTTCAGAGCTGGTACGAAAAGCGAGAGGCCTGCGACTTTTCTTATATGGAGAAAGGGGTTTTAGGCTGGAAAATAATTCATTACCTACAGTGCTATCTAGAGGCAAGCAGTATGGAAGTGATAACGTGATGGTGTAGGCCAATTAACCCTCGCGCCATTTTCATGTTGTTCCTAAGCTGGGAGCATTCTCTTTTCTTGAGCCACTCTTTAAGCAAAATAATGCTAGTTGTCATACTACAGAAACGGTAAAGCAATTCTTCAGAGTTTAAAATGTCGAGTATATATCGTGCTTCGCCAGAACATTAACATTTTCATGCAATTGTGAATATTTTGGAAATAATTATTGATAATGTCTAGGTATAGAAAGTGAAGATGGCGACTAATTTTTGATGGAAACCGCAAGAAGAATGATAGAAATTCATGTTGGAACATTGTGACAAATTACTGAAGGTATATTGTAGTAGATGTATAGCTGTAATTAAAAGTCATGGTTTGTACATATCTTATTAATATAGGTGTTAATTCTGTAGAAATTTAAAGTCAATAACTTGTTACTTTAATTTACATATATATTTATAATTTTGAAGTTAAGCTTTTTCGTGATAAACAAACATCTTTTTCTTCATTTCCTCTATACTTTTGTTTCATAAAGATTTACAGTGTGGAGAGCAAGTTTTCATGAATATTTACTGCACATCTTGTCAAGGCAGTCTCTGTAGAATTTAAATTTATTTATTTTTTTACGAGTTATCAACTATTTGTGGGATACGTAAAAGCGAAACATATTCTGAATTGCAAGAATGATTTCTTTTTTTTTGCGAATAAAAACCTCATCAATGAATTTTTGGCGATAACAAATATTTCTTCAAATACAATTCCTACTGTTTAACCCATAGTTTGAGAGGGAGAAAAAGAGATGGATTCATACCTTTCCCAAGGGTATTTCTGTGTTGGCGAATAAAAAAAAGAAAGAATTCTGATAAACTGATTGCTCATCCCGATTCGCTATCCACTGTAGAATTGAAACATTTTTAAACACACACTTGCTAATATATATATATATATATGTGTGTGTGTGTGTGTGTGTGTGAGTGTGTGTCTGTCTGTCTGTGTGTGTGAGTGTAGTGTATATGTGTGCATGTGAGTTTGTATGTATGTGTGGGTTTATCTGTGTGGGAGTGGGTAGAGGTCGAATATACTAACACACATACACGCAAAGACACATACATGTGTGCGCACAGAAAAGCACATGCACACATTTTTTTTTCCAAATTCTAACTACAAGACAGTGCATCCTTGAAATATGCCTGAAGATTTTTTGTGTGCTTCTGTTCATTTTTTTTTTTTTTAACTTCGAGCGGTCGTAACCACCGCCGGGTGAATCCAAGAATCAAGAACCTGTTTAATTGAATTAGGTATTTCTTCTTTTTTTATTGATTTTCGTTTTGGAAATTTCCTGTATGTTTTACCCACCGGGTATGTTCAAAAACAAAGATGATTTTTGTTTAATTACTTCTTGTACGCCTTTTCTTCCGGGTAACATCTCCATACGCTCCTAAAATGACCAAAGCCAACCATACGTTTTTATTAAATTTTTATTTCTATTGGTGTGAATATTTCTATTTTTATCAGACAAACCAATGTTAATAATATCACCACATTTACTCGTCTAGGTGTTGAATGGATCCTAGAAAAATAAACATGGCAAATTACATTTCTAAGCACTTTTGGAAAAGTCTCATCGATGTATTCAAAGAAAAAGGTACAACATTGTTACTGTTAGCAACTGAATTCCATTTCGATCAAGCCCTATTAAGAAAAAATTAATTCAAAAACCGCAGCTGTCGCCGCTATTAACGCATCGCGCTTCATTAACGAACTGGGAACTGTTAGAGTTTGATTACATCTCGTATATAAAACGTTAGACTTTTCCTTCCTCTGCCGTGCGCCGATAGCTTAGGGGTAGGATCTCCGACTGATGACAAACCGCTTGGGTTTCGATTCCGGCTTGAAGAAATCGGATGTCTTGCCACACTGATGAGCTGTGATACAGCGAAAGAGGTTTGTATGTGGCTGACTATATATATATATATATATATATATATATATATATATATATATATATATAATGAACAACAGACACTTCAAGGTACCATGACAATAATTTATTTCACCAAAATCCTTTTAAAGGGTTTTGGATCATCAATAACACTTCCAACAATGAAATGAGAAAAAATATGATTAGAAATTGATGGGTATAAATTACATTGTCAATTTCTTGATGATCCAAAAAACCATCAAAAGGATTTTGTGAAATAAATTATTAATGGTAAATTTTGAAAATGTCTGTTGTTCATTAAATATTAGCTCTGTTCTTCATTGAGGCTCTCAGGATTTCATCCTCCTTGGATTTACCAATTCGGTTTACCAAATTCTTCAAACTTAACTATATATATATATATATATATATATATATATATATATATATATATATATATTTTTTTCTCGGACATTCAGGCCAGTAAATGTTGTTAATACTGTTTATTATAAACAGAGCATTTATTAATTACTTACTGTATGTATAAAAACTTATAATTACTTACTGTATGTATAAAAAGAACGTATATATATATATATATATATATATATATATATATATGTTATAATTAAATGGATAATGGACAATTATTTAATATATCTATCTATATTTCTGAGATGAGGTATTATGTAAAATATTTACATTGTTCGGACTATTATCCTTATTTTTGTTGCCAAATTAATCACAACGTTTCGTTCGTTGTACGCTTTGGCCTTCTTCAGGTGGTTAGAATGTCGAACAGAACCGTTGTGATAAATATGCCAACAAAGATGAGGATGATAGTCCGAACAGTGTAAATAATGTATTTAATATATTCTTTGTTTATACGCTATTTTTACTAGATACAATATATTTATGTAAATTTACTGTTTACTTTTTATCTTAATTAAATAGTACAAACATTTACCGGCTTGAACGTTCGATTAATTTTGCAGTAAATATGCGTTCTCTGACAGCAATCGTACCTGTATTCCCATACGAAACTGTCAATTGCTTTACAACTCAGCTAAAGAGAAGCGTTTGGTTAGCAAAGTTCAAATTACTGTTTATAAACAACCAATCTTCGACGTTTTTTTCCCCGAAAAAACATATCAACTCACGAAATTTCTCGAACATTCAGGTCAGTAAATGTAATTGATTCTGTTGATTTAAAGAACTGTGCATTTACTTAAATATATTTTATCTATAAAAATCACGCCTAACGTATATATATATATATATATATATATATATATATATATATATATATATATATATATATATATATGCCCATTAAGAAATTGTATTTCTGATCAATCAAAATTCGTAAATAATTATATAGGCCACACTACCACATATTTGACACGCAGATTCACCCTACATCTTTCTGACCATAGCTCAATTAGATCTAATTTAAATATTTATGGAGACCTACCGGACACGATTCGTAACATACTTGTTGACAACATAATTATAATAGCATCATCTACATGAAAAAAAAAAAAACGGCTAAAAATAATGGAAGCCTTATTAATAAAAGAAAAAAACAAAAAACAAAAACAAAAACAAAAACAAAAACTAACAAAAAAAAAAGACGTTACAAAGTCAAACCCTTTCATTTCCCTTGATAAAGTCGACCAGAGGTAGAAATGCATCAATAAAGAAAAGTTTTCCTTTTATTTCCATTGTCTGTTCACAAATAAATTGGGTTTATATTAAAATTTTTATACACACACACACACACACACACACACACACACACACACACACACACACACACACATATATATATATATATATATATATATATATGGTTGTGCGTGAGTGTGTCTGCAAAATTTCTGATATAACTAAAATATGTTTTAAAGACAATATGAATAATAACAAAATTCATATATATATATATATATATATATATATTGATCAGATGATCATGTTTGGCATGTGTTGATAGTCACAATACAGTTTTGATTCCAATCTCTATACTCAATCTGTCCATATCTATCTATCTATCTATCTATCTATTTATCTATCTATCTATCTATCTATTACGTCTGTGTTTTTGAGATCAAATGTTCAAGATAGATGCCCATTTCTTATTGGTACCAATTTAATCGCCCAGGCCTAGGTAAGCCACCATGATTTCGGAAGATAATTTTGACTAAGAATATACCTGCTTCAAAGACATACAAAGAAATACTATCTCCTCACGATGTTCCTGCGTATTTGTCTCACTTTCAAAACCAAGCTTGTCTTAGTAAATATCAAAGAATAGTGAATATAGTTGACGCTTTTCACTGTTCAAAGCTAAATTTATCTGTCTGTCGAAGGGAGGGCAAACTCCTCATTCGATTCGATAAAGTCTATTCTCCGTCGACATAAAGAAATTTTACTTCTATTCTCATCTTAAACAATACATGAATAGAAAGAGAGAAGAGGGTTTGGTCTTTATTTTACTTGTCTCTTACACCCCACCATTTTTTTTTTATGTTCTTCTGAGATTATTGTGTCGTTTAACAATTTCCTTCATAGTTTTTCTTTTGATTTTTTTCTCATTTTCATGCATTTATTATGCCTATTCTTTCTTGTCTCTTTTTTATTGTATTTTTCTTATTCTTTCTTTCTTCTTCCTTTTCTTTATTTCTTTCCGTTCTAAGGTTCGTTGTTCTTTCTTGGCTTCGTTGTATTGTTCTTTATTGGTTCCTGTTTTATATTCTTGTAGGATTAAGATCTCTGCTTTTGTCGATTTGATGTTAAGAGGACTTTCTCTTTTTTCTTTATCTTTCATTTTGTTTTTTTACTTTTTCCCTTTCTAGTTATCTCCTTTTTTCTTTCCTTCTCATTTCTTTGCCCTCTTTTTTTTCTTTTCATTCTCTTTCCCTTTCTCGTTTTCCTTCTACCCAACAATTTTTTTTCACCTTTTACAATTCTTAGTCTTTTCTTTTTCTTTTATTCTTCTTTGCTTTATCTTTCTTTTCGTCCTCTCCTTTACTTTTCTTTTTCCTTTCTTATCCTCTCCTTCTCATCTTCTTTTCTTCATCCTTTTTCTTCCATTTTTCGTTCTCCTTTTTCTTTCCTTTCTTCTCCTCTATTTTCTTATCCCTTTTCCTTTCATTTCTACATTTCCTCTCCTTCCTTTTCTCTTTCTTTTTTCTTGCTTTGTCTTTTTCCTTCTTTCCTTCCTTTCTGTCTTCTTTTATCCCTTCTTTTTTTTCAATTTTAATCTTTTATTTTTCATTCTTCTTCCTCCTCCTCTTTCTTCCGCTTCTACATTCCCATCATATTTCTTCTCTTCCTTCCCTCTCATTATTCAGTCTTTCCTTTTTTCTTTTCCTTCCTCCCTTCCTTCTTTCCTTCCTTCCTTGTTTCTTTTTGTTTCTTTCTTTTCTTTTTTCTTTCTTTAACTTTTCCTCTCCTTGCTTCTTGTTTGCCTTCTTTTATTCCTTTTTTCTTTTCCTGTCCTTCCTGTCACCATTTCTGTCGTCACTTATTTTTTTTTCTTCGTTTTCTCTTCTTCTTCTTTTCATACCTTGTTTTCTTTCCTATCTTCCTCTCTTTCTTTCCTTCATTCTTGTCTTTTTGTTTCTTTTTACCTCGTTCTTTCTTTAATTTCTGTCCATTTTTACCCACTTTCCTGCCTTTTTTAATGTTCTTAATTATAATTTTATATATTTTTATATATCTTCTCTTTTTTCCGTTACATTTTTCTTTTATTCTAGTTTCTTTCTTTCTTTCTTTCTTTCTTTCTTTCTTTCTTTTTCTTTCTTTCCATCCTCCCACCCTTCTTCTTTTTATTCCTCCTCCTTATCCTCTTTTACCTAATTTTCTTTTCGTTCTGTGAATGGAAGTAAAAAAAAACAATATCATTTGATCCGTTAATGGTTTTCTGAGCATTTGCCTCGCATCCTTGACTGCTTTTTCCTTGAGATTTCTTTCTGGCTTGAACTAATAACTAAAATGGTTGAAATAAACGAAGAAAGCAGGGGCAAATGAAGGAGAAAAATACACCATGGCTTTTTATCTCGACTTTTGGATTTCAGTTGCCTTAGAATTGTGTAAAGGAAAATGTGAGTTGTTAAAATGTCTATTATACCCGGTTGCGTGTAGCGGGGTAAGCATTTTTTTATTTCATTTTTCATGTTTATAATTTAACTTCTTTCTACAATCTTGGGATGATTCAACACAGAATATCCGTTTTTATTGATTATCATTACTACTACTACTAATAATAATAATAATACTTCTCTACGTTAAAGAATTCTATTATATTTTTTCTCATATATCAAGAAATTTAACGCATTTGTTCCCGATAAGAACGAGAAAGCATTAATCTGGCTTCTTCATTTTCACCTTAATATGTTCTGAGTTGGAAAATAAGGTTTTTTAATACTAGATTTTTTTTCTTTTCTCTTATATCAAATGTGTATTATTTTTTTTTAAGTGCATTTTGGCTTGTAGTGGTTTCTAGCTGAAATTGTAATATCGGAAATATTAGCAAATTATTTACTTTTGCCCCAGTCACCACGATGCACCTAGTTATCGTTGTGGTTATCTAACATTTTGCGTTTTTTTTAATCATTCGTTCCCGTTGATGTAACGTTTTCAGCAAAAAAACAAATAAAAAAAAAATTCTTTTATAGTAATTTTCTAAGAGTAGCTTAGATGTGGCACAATGTCGAGAGTATGGGGCACCCAATGAAGATCGAACTCACTATTCAGTTGTAATTGATCTAGGGAGACAAGCTTGCTTACAATGACACTTCGAGTTGCCCAAAGAGTTGCTTAGATGTGGCACAAGGCCGAATATATGGGGCACCCAGTGAGGATCGAACTCACTATTCAATCGTAACTGTTTTAGCGAGACAAGCATGCAAACCATTACACCGTGCCAAAAAGGAGACCAAACTCTTTCTTTTGTATGGGATATATTGGTTTGATTTATTTATCTTCCTGGAAGAATTATATTCTTCTAATTAGGTTTTTTCGAAAATAATATCCGATTTTTCAATTCAATTTTAATCTTGAATTAGAATATTTAAACAATATTGTAATCAGTCAAAAGTAAACCTGAAAATCTGCACATTTCTGCCATCAAGTTGCAAGGTTATTTATAACTTTATAATAAAATGTTTATCGCCAAGAAATCTTTGAATAAAGTTTCTGTATATTCTTTACAACGGAATGTCTTTTGGCTTAAAAAGATTGTGAAGACCAGAGATCAAAAAAATATCCTGGGTCTAGCAAAGTCTCATATCCTAAGTCGGGGAACTTCTGCAGCGTTTTCCTGGCAACATCCAGCAGAATTCAGCCCCCGGGATTGAAAATTGCCAATATCTGTCTATATCACTGAGATAAGGTATTATGATTATTTACATTATTCGTATTGTTATCGTCATCTTCATTATCATATTCACAACGTTTCGGTCGATGTACGATCCCGACTTCTTCAGATAATTGGATTTAGAATATCCACTTGGCCATGAGGACACATGACCCAGTAGATAAAGACGTTGGTTAGATCCAATGACTAGACCCAAAGAGTTTTGAGTTTAATACCAGGAAACAGCAGTGGTGAACTTGGAGTATTGAGTTAAGGGAAATAACCGTGATATAACGAAGGGGTATGGCACGTGGAACTAGAATAATCTACCCCGGCGGATGGAATGAAGCGTTCGATTTGAAATTCCATTCACCTGAAGAATGCCGGCGCGTACAACGTCCGAAACGTTGTGAATATGACAATAAAGAGGAGGATAACAGTCCGAATAATGTAAATAATGAAAAATACCAGTTGTATATTGCTTAACTGAATGTGCATTTCATCCAGTTGCTAGCAATGAACATCAGTGATGCTCTGGTTAGATTCGAGGAAGCTGTAATGCATAACGCCATTGGCAGACCAGCAGACAGTTAAGATAATCTTCTATTGGTGAAATTTCGGTTTTGGATAGTGTTCGGTTGCTTCGTCGTAATCAAGCCATTGTCAGCATCAGTCACTACTTGATCGAGAAATGGATCATTCAAATTCTGTAGAACCAACAACTAACACACTTCAAAACATCGAACACTTTCACTGAGTTCACATGGAACCCGTTTTCTTTGCAAATTTTCTTGAGATGAGCCAATAGTGTTGAAATGCTGACACCCATTATCCGAGATATATTTTGGCTCTTCGACGTGGGTTTTAATCCACTAGTGTTTTCAGATGTTGATTGTCAATTGCAGGTAGACATCATATACCATCTTGATCTTCTGGACTCATATCCCCACTGCGGAACTTCAGAAACCAATTCCCGCGGTACTGATTGTTTACAAGTGAAACCTTCATTCTATTCGCTATTAATATTAATAGAAATTTGAAAAGTATTATGATCAAGCACATGCAAAAAAAAAGAAAAAAAAAAAAGAAAACGCATTTCTTCTATGCCCATATTTAAGATAGTTAAATTCCGAAAGAAAAGACTGATATACAAATTAACAAAGAGGAAACTTTAATCATTAGAAATGAGTAATATATATTTGTGCGGCTATTATAATGATAAATTAGAACGCGTTGTTCACCTCCAGTAAGATCCTCCACGAAACCTCGAAGTTATACGGTTTACGGCATATCAACACCTCAATGGGTTATTTAATGCCGACAAGATTTTTAGAATCGATTCGTATGAATAGACTATGTATTCCTTGTAAGAAATCAGTTTGTAGATCAGGTTTCATTGACGTATTTTGTTTTTCTCTAGAGTCAAATATATTGCTGGTAATATTTTCTTTTTCAAAAATCAATTTCTGGTAATATTCTTTTTTTTTTTTTTTTTCAAAACTGTAATTACTGACGGTAATATTTTTTTCAAAAAAGTATTGGTATTTTTAGTATAAAAAATTATTTTTTCTGTTTTCATCCCAGTTTGCTATTTGCCCATGGCTGGGACCCTAACAGGTGCTACCAGCCTGTGTCAGAGTGGACCCGGGAACAACAGCAAAAGAGGTGGTTCCATGCTCCTCAAAATCTCCTGATCAGAGTTCTTGCTGCTAGACGTAGTTTATCGTCATAGCCAGGACCTGTTCTCGCATAATCCTTGAACAATACATTGTGCGAATTTTCCCTTTGTTTACCAATTTTATTGACTTCAGGAAGGCAGTGCACTTGTAAATCTTTAAGGGCAGACCTTAAAATCTTTAGCAGATTAGAGAAAATCATGTTTCCAATGCAGTGTCTTATTGGAGGGCACTCTGGCAACGTTATTGCCCGTCAAGATAGTTCTGCATTTGCTCAATAGTTCTGAATTGTCCTCGATTGGGTTATACGCCAGACAACAATATATCCAATAAAAGATCACGAATTTACTTTTGACCGAGCAGTTCATCGCTCGTACCAGTTTAAGCTACTGAACAATTATATAAAAAGAAAGCAGAAAAAAAGACAGCTGTGATTTATTTATCTCTCCTCAATAATGACCAAATCATCATTAATATTGTAACATTTAAAGGATTTAATGGCTACACGTACCAGAGAAATTAAATCCATAATCATTCATGAAACATGAAATAAATCCATAAAGATCCATGACTCATGAAACTAAATCCATAAAGATTCATGACTCATGAAACAAAATCCATAAAGATTCATGACTCATGAAACTAAATCAATAAAGATTCATTACTCATGAAACAAAATCCATAACGATTCATGACTCATGAAACTAAATCCATAAAGATTCATGACTCATGAAACTATATATATATATATATATAAGTATATTAATATAAATACTGTAAATATTAATTTAAATAAATAAACATATATTCAAAAAATATATATACATATATATAGAAATACATACACACACACACACACACACACACACACACACATATATATATATATATATATATATATATATATATATATAATACATGTTTCATTAAATAATATAGACAAGTTTTGTCGATTTATTTTAAGTAAGTTCCTTTCATATTGTCTGATATGATTAATTACATTATCATTGAAAGACGAAAGGAAATGTTTCATGGGGAAATACGAACAAAATGTAAATAATTAAGTAATTATTCACTTTGTTTCAATTAATTTGCACAAGGATGTAGGTGATCATGGCCCTCCACATCTTCCTGCACAATTAATTTGCACAAGGTTGTAGGTTTTCGATAAACCGGTGCAGCTTTTGTCGAAGAGATCTCGCGGCGGCACACAGTCCGAGTTTCCCAACTATATCCAGCTTTTTAAGTGCTTCTTCAAACTTACTGGAACACTAGACGTGGAAGGAAACTGAATTGGGATTTGATTCCCAAACCGTAAAAACTCAAAACAAATACATATAGTCATTTTAAAACTCGTTATGATTCTGTGTCAGAACAAACATTGCTTTCTTCTGTCTGTTAAAAGTTATATTTTGTTTTGTTGAGTAACGTGTACACCTGCGTCCTGTTCACTTTTTAAAGAAAAGAAAACCAGAAAAAAATTGTCTCAGAAATGCAACGATGCATTTGCATGCCTCATGAGAGTTGAAATTATGAAAAAAATACAAATGAAATGCAATTAATGAATGTTTGGATTAAGACAAAAATCGATATTCACAAAGCTGCGAAGCTGATCCCCCTTATACAAAGTTACATTACATTTTAATTGCAGATTTACCAAGATTAGCTTGCCTGCTAAGAGGAAACGAATATCTTATGAAAAAAGATTTTTTAATGCTAAAATACACTTAAGACAAAGCTTGAAATCTACTCAAGGTAATGGTTTAACATTAAAATAGTTCTGTTAAATGTGCTGTGTGATATAAACAAGAGAAGAGGTGGCAGAA